AGCAGGGACAACAGGTGAGGTGTCCTTATCTGTCCTGAAGGCAGAAGGAAGGTCCCTCCCTAGATTCCAGGCAAAGGCTCTCCTCTACTCTTGGGTCAAGATGGTTAACTGCATTCAAAGATTACTTGTCACCAGTTACAAAGCCTGGACTCACTTAGCCACACAGGTCTTGAGTGGCAGCTGGCCTGGGATGGACTCAAGGACTTAGATGCAGACGAGCTGTGTCTCAGTGCTTTAAATAAAATATTTTATGCAATCAATCAAAAAAAGTCAAAGATACTTTCATTTAAGATAATCAAAGCGCAGGGGAATGAGGGTCATTTTATAGAAGGTTTCTCAGACCCCAAGATGTTTCAGCTGGTTCCAGGCCAGCAGCAGAAATTAGTAGAAAGTAAGTGGCTATCCAGAGGAGTAAAAGATGGGTAGATGGGAACTGTGCAAATTCCCTGCAATGAGCTAAGGTAATTTGTGATGCTGCAACCAATGAAACCATGATCTCAGGCAGCACATTTTTCGGTATATTTTCAGAGGTGTATCCTAGTTGGCAATCTCACGCCTGAGAGCTTGTCTTCCTCCCATTTATTTATTTCTCTTTCTTTCAGCGCCTTTGTCAGATTTTCAGCCCCAGCTTGACAGGTTCTGCTGGGAAAATGCTTTGTTAATTGCCATTTGTCCTCAGATCAACTGGCAGATAGACACTGAAGAAAAACTAAGTCAGGCTTAACTAAACTTTGTCTTCTGGAGCCGTTCAACATGAAAGTTGCAAGCCTGTTTTTTACATCCTCTGCCATTCCCTATCATCTCTCTGGGCAAAGGGGAGACGTACTGCAACTGAGAGGGCAAGAGCTCACCCAGTCAGACCCCCAACAGGGCTCTTAGGGAATATTTTCCTTCCTCAACTATAAATGCCATTCAGACTGTAAGAGAATAGGTAAAGGAGCGGAATTTGTTGCTGTACAGGATGAAGTCTCCAATGCCCTTCCTTGGCATTCTCCCAGGGCATTTAGAAGTACCCCAGCTTAAGAAGGGACCGGGTCCACAGGGTGAGCATGGAGGAGAGCACTGGTAAGACAGAGAGAGGGCTGGCCCCTCTCACCAAAAGGAGCAATTCAGGTGGTGGACCTCTATAAAATGCTAGTACTCCTTCCCACAGGATGTCCCCAGGGCAAAAAGGAAGAATGGACCAGAAGAAGACCTCAGGGCAAATGGATTCGAGGGTGGTTATTAATTTCCATGTTCTTGATGCAATCTCCAGCTACAAAAAACCCTTTCATGTTGTCACCAAACATGGAGAAAGTACAACCAAAGGAGAGATCTCATCATGCTTGTCCTGTATCTGAGGCTTTTTCACCACAGCACCAGGACCTGGGAGAAGTGGCCCACTGTGACTGCATCAGGATGCAGAATCTGGGTGTGAGATTTTATATCCTGGCTCATCCTCCGAACCCACAGACAGTGATAGGGAGTTTAGAAACCTGGAGCTTCAGCCGGCAAGTACAGGCAGCTCAGGCACCAAGGGGAGAAACTGCAGCAGCTGAAGGGCAGCCACCTCCTCTCATGTAGGAATGGGGATGAGGGGGAGTGAAGGGGAGTCTGGTCTCTGAGACAGGATCCCCTGAAAGAAGGACCGCTTTAAGAAGGCACCTGAAATTCCCAGAATGACCAATGAGTGATGGGGGGATTAGGGGAAACTCCACAATTTAGACTCCTACATAATTTGCGCCCAGGTTTAAGATACTTTGTGTGTGCGCAGATACTCACTCAGTGGGATTTGCAAACACATCTAAATGGATAGGGCCACATTCCCATGGGCTCCACAGATGCAAAAGTCTGTTTGGTGATATTTTCCACTTTTTTCCCAAAGGTATTGCTGACATATCACTGGGTACCTTTTCTGGTAAGGGAAAGGATCCAAAATGGGCTCTGTCTTCCCATACATGTTGATGTAACTATTTAGTAAGTGCTGTTTATGTTGGATTTCATAACCTGCATAATCGCATGTCATAAAGTTTCTCAGGCATCTGTATATCTCATTCAATGCTGTTCTGTGCAGCTGGTTTTACTTCCAAACTACCAGACACCTCTGTACACCTGATGTTGGTAAAAAAGAACACAAACCAACAAACAAACAAACAAACAAACAAACAAATTATATAGGTACTGCAGGGCTGCCCGAAACTATGGTAAATATGGGATCAAAGGTTTCGTTCAGCGATGCAGCTGCTCTTGACTTGGATTTGATATCTACACAGGCCTATCTAAGTGTAAATGCAGACTTTGAGCCGTTCATGCATTCTGTACTGTTTCATTTGCAGGGGGAGGGCTTTTATGCTAGCAGAGGTGTGCTTCTTTCAGCAAGCAAGACAATTTGATATCAAGATGGTTCTATGGAGATTGGATGCTGATTTTTTAAAATTCTTTAGAAATTTTAGGAACAACAGATCAAACCTAACTTTTTAGTCCTAAGCTTGTTACATAGTATAACAAAGAAACTCCAATTTTCATTCTTTCCTCAGACTGCTGTTAGAAGGCTTGGGGAAAACCTGAAATAGTCACCCTAGTTTTGCAAATAAAAGGAGACCTTGAAATCTTTCTTGACTAAAGTTTGAATCCACCTGTGCACTCTAATTTGATAATGATAAATATAAGCCACACCACAAAGCTTTGTTGGCAGAATATTTCAGTTGTTTTATGAATAAAAAAGTTACCCTTTAAAATGATTGAGTCTTTCTCTGTGGCTTTCACACCTTTATGGTATTTTGAACTTTTCTTTTCCTGTGGGGCTGTTTTATTATTATTATATAGCTAGATACAAAAATATTTTCAATCTGATAAGCTCATTTGGCTGTACAATCATTTTCCAGCCCCCTGGAGTGAGATGCTTGTGCACAATTCTTCATTCAAATTAATCTGTTGCAGCAGTGACAAGCCACATGACAGCAGTTGGGTCGCAGACACGCTTTCCTGGAGTTCCTCATGTGCACACTACATTGTTCCTGAACTGGATCTTGAATGGGGAAGAGTGAAGAGAAACCTGCTCAACAAGGAGTTTGTGATACCAGAAAAGATTTTTATTATTCTTTACATAGTAAATATTAAACAAGGTGGTTTGATAAGACACATGTGCCCAAGGCTCCTACAAGGCTACAGAGGCTCCTAAAGAGTTGAATGCCCACAAACCCAGAGGCCCTGGAGACACCAGGACTGAGGGCATGCTGGACCTGGGCAGTGGGTTAGGACTTCTTTCTGCCTTGAGATGTAGGATAAGAGCAAAATGCTTGGCTGCACAGGAAAGATGGGAGTACAGGCATGACCCGAGCACACAGAACTAGCAAGGACTTACAGAATGCAACAAGGAATACAACAGCTTTTGTGGCCCAGTCTTTGTCAATGTTGTTCCTCAATAGAGCCCATCCTTTACCTTCTTTCTAGGAATATAGGCAAAGACCTGTCCTTCTCCTCTCTTTGGCCTATCCTGGGATAAAGCCTTTGCAACAGTTTCAGGGTTTCTCTTTCACAATGGCCTCGGCCCCATCCCCTTCTCCCAGAGAGCCGCCAAGTGGCTCTTTCTGAAGGAAAAGGATGTCATGAACCAAGGTGAAGGTGATGTGGAGAAGGGAAGAGAGCAAGCACCTGATGTGTCAGTGCTGATCTCTTTTGGACACATGTGGAAACTTGCTCTGGTGCAGCCCCACCAGACCTGCCTGGAGGTGGTCAGCTCCCACATCCCCAACACCCACCACTGTCAGGTGGAGAGCTGAAACCCACTTTAGGGTAGAAAACCTGCACAAAGGGACATTGTATTCTCCCATCTGCAGCACGGTGCCTGGCACTGTCGATCCTTTGATTCATGATATCACCTTGCTCCCATGAGGTAAAACAGCAAGGTCTGGAATAGATCAGTACTGCTACTGCCATTTTATGTATCGACAAAGCAAACAGACCTGGAAGATCCTCCTGATGTGTGCATTTCAAGGCAGCAGGAGAGCCAAAAGTAGGTTTCCCTGAGGCACATCTGGTGTGCCACCGCATTATAGCACCTGCAGCAAATAGCTTAGACCAGCTGAGAACCAAGAGGAACTGAATACTTGGCCACTTTCAGCCTACCTTGTAAATTTTAAAGTCAAAAGGGACAATTCCTGTCAACTTGACCTTCTGTAATATAGAGGCCTGGGAATTTCCTCCAGCAGGACTTGCTCTTAAGATTATGGTTTGCAGTTTAACTAAAAGACCTTTTTCCAAGATAGCCAGCCTTAATTTGAAAACCTCACACAATAGAGAATCCACACCTTTTAACATTTTGTTCCAGTGACAAATTACTTTGTCTGTCAAACATGAATAGTTTAAATTGTAGATTTATTTCTTCCTACAAAGTAAGTATATTTCAATAGCTTGACAGCTGGAGTTCATCTGACCTAAAACCCGGATGACTATATTTGGCCAGATGAGTCTTACCTCTCCAGTGACTCCAAAAGCAAGGCATTAAATACAAGATGATTCATTGCCTTTGAAACTTAGGTATGGAGAAAAAAGCAAAAAACACAAACTTGTAGTTTGCATGGGCCTGCCAAATGAATAATGCCCAGAAGCTCTCTCAAGGCAGCTAAATTGAAAACAAACTGAACCAAAACTTGAACCAATGTAAGGATGCCAGCTGCCAGCGAAAATGTCATCTGCAGTTAACTCCATCTTTCCCTCTCCATACTTTAATAATGTTTCTAGAGGTCCTGAAATCTGGCATATCCAACTGTCTTGTGCACTGCCTTCATTACATGACTAACAAAGAGCTGCCCTAATCATGTCCCACAGAGGCCAGACCTTTCTGGAAGATGAGGCTCAGTTCTCCATAGCTCCCCTTCCACTGATGGCAGGCTATGTCTTTCCACATGGCAGTGGATCTACTTGGTAGTGCTTGGTGCTTCTCCAACAGATCCCAGAAAATCCAGAGCTTTAGACAGTGGACATAGGGTTATGACAAAAAAGTTTAACCTGGAACTGTATGGTATTTTATTGCCATTTTAATAAGTGTAATAATATTGACCACTGAGGCACAAGTAAGGCAAGGGTATAGAAAAAGGCAATTACAACACGCCAGGTAGAAGCAGAAGTGTGGTAGGTAAAGTACCTAAGTAAATAAATTAATAAATATATAAATAACACCAAAACCCCATACATTGAATCAAAAGTCATAAAAGTCTGTAGTAAGAATCTGAATACATTGATCAAGTCAGTTGAAGATATAATGTGGTAGAGGAGTAAAAAAGGACCAGCTGTCCTGAAGGGGAATAGGGATTGACTCCTGCAGCTAGGTTGGTAGATCACAGTAATATGCAAGACTTCTACACAGATTGAGGGATAAATTTTCAAGATGGAAGTGGAATAAAGCAACATACTGACCACAGATAGAGTGTATCAAACAAACTTGGCAACTCTCTTACCAAAAGCTGTTTGATTTCTAGTTGGTGAATTGCAGGAAACCACATTCATCCAGACTTAACTGAATTGTTCAGTATGGCACCATATGGGAAGTTATGAGTTATTTTAAGGCAGTACAATTAATACAGGAAAAATACACCAGTGCACAAATCAGCCAAAAAGCAACAATATTTACAGAGGATGCAGGCTGGAAGAAAGCTATTTGTGTCATTCTGTGAGCACAGTGTTCAGGTCTGTAATATTTTTCCTTGCATAGCACAGGTAATAAAAAAAAAAAAAAAAAAAGTGACAAATTAAATATTCTGGGTGATTCTGGACAGTCCACTGAATGCAGACTCAGGACTGCATACTCAGAACTATGTTAATTGAAAGAACAGTAAGAGAATTAAAATGGTACAAAGGGCAAGGGACAAATGCTGACCTCTTGGTTCTTTTGCCTTAAGAATAAGACACCTGACAGAAGGACCAGCCCCACCCTCCCCAGCCTATACCTTGGCCTGAGTACAGGCACCCCTTGTCCTCCCACCTGCCCCAAAAGCCCAGACCAAAATGGGAAGGAATAAAACACAAATGGAGCACATAATGTATTGCCTGAAAGGGTTAATTCCCTTTTGCTCCTGCAGGCTGAAGAGGAAAAGGTCTTGAGGAAGCTATTGTTATAGATGACTTCCTTTCCATGGTAAAGTTTACTGACAGCTGCTTAAAAATACAACCAACACTAGCATTTACAGTGCAGGTATCAACATTTTATTTTTTAAAAAGGAAAAAAAAAAAAAAAAGAATACATCATTTTAGTGACTGAAAATGCATAAAAAGGTACATATTTCAAGGAATTCACACATTAAAGAAACAGGCTTTGAGTTTCTCTAATGCATGTGACTTATAAATTCTTTCACAACCTATAACTGCTTGTTTCAAATACTCTGTAATAATAAGGCATTGGGAGAGCCAGAGATCCCCTGAGATGCCAGCACTGTTAGTGCAGGAGGTCCCTGACCTCAGTCCCTTAGCTGTGAGTACCAGGGATACCCCAGTAATTCTGCAAGATAGCAGAGGAGATGCTCCAACAACATAATGCCATAATCTGAATCCACCCCAGGAAAATCCAACAGTATCTCACAGCTGTCAGAGACTAGGCAGTTCCCATACATCTTTAAAGTAACTCATCCCAATCCTGGTATTTAGTAACAGCTTTAATGAGTATATTTATATATAAATCTATTTTTTTATAAAAAACAACACTATGGTGAAATTTACATGAACACACACAACTTTAGCAACACTGTTTCCAGTGAAACTATTAGCTGCTTGCAGTTTATATACAAAGCTGATTAATTAGAAAGGCTGCTACAGGGGCCAAGCTCTCTTTCCAGGTTAGCCTCTAGCTAGAACAAGGATTTCTTATGTGTCATCTTCTAGGAGCTGGCAATATTAAAAATTGTGATTAGAACACCAGGGTGCAGTGGTTTACAAATACTTTGTTTTAAAATGCAGCACATTCTTGCTCTCTGTTCTGACACTATGGATCAGCTGATTTATATGGTTCTAGGAATTCATGGGAGAGATTAAAAGTTTGGCTAATAAAAATCCTTTAGAGAAGTTAATTCCTGGTGCCAAGCTATTGACTTTAAAGCAATACCTAGCATGAATTTGATCCAGAATCACAGGCAATTTTTTTCTGTAGGATGTAGGAGCTTTAATTCCATGCTAGCAAAACAATTTAAGTTTTGCAGGATCTCCACTCTACAGATGGGAACACAAGTTTGGAGGGAAGCAGTTTGCCAAGGTCACAGGCAAGGCCAGCAACACTGCCCAAATGAGCCTCCAGATTCCTAACATCTGGTCTACATTGGACATGTTGAACAGCAACGCCCACTTCTCTCCTGACTGCTAGTCCTCAATCCCCTTCTACTATGGAAAGATTATATGATACTGCATTTGGGGAAAGGCTCATAGGAAAATGCCTAAAGAAAATGCATGAGAGATATACATCAAAAGAAAGAAAGAAAGAAAAAAGGAAAAAAAAAAAAAAGACTAGAATATCTCAAGACAGGAAAAAAACTCTTCCTGTTGTTCTCGAAGCTCTTCTTAATTCATTCTTCCACTTTGTCAACTGCAGTCCTGAGTAATGACTATCTGCCAGATCTGGGTGGCAGCTTCCTCAGACCCTTTCCTTGTGCTTCACATTAGCCAGCTTGACTGTTTCCTGCTCAGAAGCAGGTGGAGAAGGCTCATCATGACATCCAATCATCAGCTGATAGACTATCACTCCCGCAATAGCCCCAAGGAAAGGAGCAACAACTGGAACCCACCACCACTGCTTACCAGTCCTGGAAAACAAAAAGAAAGTGCACAAGGTAAGAACTGCAGCCTAAACGTTAGGATATTTATGTTCAGATCTAGAACAGTGCAATGTCTGATAATTTCCAAACATTACCATTGACTTGCAAAAGACAATAGTACCCACAGCAATTTCCAAGACAGATATGGTCCCTCCCTGCAAGTTTAGGTGATGAGCAATTAGAACAGCTACTTTCACGACTTCCAAGACTGTCTGTCCACCAAGAAAGGAGAGAAGCACTTTCAGTGCCTGAACTAGGCACCTTCACTTCCCTCCACCACTTGCAGGAAAGCAGCCCTTGGTAGCACATAGTCTCTTTTGCTCATGGCTCTCTTAATTGTCTCCAAAACCAAAATCCAAGTATATCAAACACCCTCCATTTCCTACCACCAAAAAAACTATGATTGGCTTATGTTCAAGGTGTACCTGAACTTCTCATTGATGCTTCTAAATTTCCTCCTTGATAGTAAAGTTCATTCATTTGCTCTTACCACTAGAAATGGCCCAGCTACTACAATTTCTTAAGAAGTTAGAGCAGAGCAAACAGTGTCTCTTAAAAACATACAATCCAAAGATACCTCATGGGTTCTAAGACTCTTTATAGTGCCAGACCTACCATCTATTTGGACTCATAATGTTTTCACCTTGATGCACAAGATTTTCAGCAGTAAGCACTTACCAGAACACTTCAGTGCCCCAGCCAGCGATGGCTGTAAAGAGACGAGGCCCAAAGTCCCTGGCAGGGTTGACAGCATATCCAGAGTTGAAGCCCATGGAGGTTCCAATAACGAGGACAACAAAGCCAACTGTGAAAGCCTCCAGCCCCGTGGGCACAGGGTTGTTGTAAGGATCAACAATAGCCAAGACACAAACAATCAGGGAGGCAGTGCCAATGAACTGGGGAGGGAGAGGAAGAAAAAAGAAGAATTTAATCCGGATTAATCTTTCAAGCGATTTATTTAACTCCTGAAGTCCTATTCATTTAGAGCTTAGTCTCTAAACTGGAAGAGATGCATGAAGTCATCCCATGGTATTATCAGTCCACAGTAGACTGAGCACTGGAATGGGAGAGTGGAACGTGCTCCTCCTAGCAGCCCACAGGCTCGATCAAGACCACACCTTTCTCCCTACCCACAGAAGAGCTATGAATAACTGTTTGAGCAGGCAGAAAAGCTGAAGACATCTTCCTGAACCCATTTCCAACCTGCCACAATTGGGTGGCTGCTGTTTCTTTGTGATTGATGGTAACTTTAAGAAAGAGACAGTCACCTCCAACACCAACCATCACTCCACATTCAGTTGACTTCTGAGTTGTGCAACAGCCACAGTAGTACAGTGGGAGTGAGGAAGAGACATCCTTCCTCATACTATGGCTCTTCAAGGGCTGAGAACAAGTGGTATCCTTTTCACTGGTGTCCTGGCCAGTGTGGTACCACTGGTTAAACCCCTTAACACAAGTATTCTTTCTATAAGGGTAGTTTCTGGCTCTGCTTTTCCTATGGGCTACTGAGATATCTGTATCAGCTCTAAAAATCTTTCTGGATATCTTCTCTTTAAGTTGTAATACATTCTCTAAGTAAAGGAGAGGTCCAGAATCACCCTAAAAGATACTTCTTCAAATGTGTCTTCAACCAACCAGCACCCTCTTACCTGGTCAAAGAATCCATTCACAATGTTCAGATGCTGAGATGGGTAGGTGGCAAAGATACCAGCAGTGCCATTCTGTCCTGTTACATACAGCTGGTTACTGCCAAAAGCCCAAATGGCATCTAGAGGTTGGGGGGTTGGGAGGGACAGGGGGCAGGGAGAGGAATGAAAAAGAAAGGTAGAGCAGTCAGACATTTTCTAACACACATCAGAGAGAGGACCCTGCTTGCGAGATGACTAGAACATGGGCTCCACAAAGCCATTAATATTGAGACAGAATTCCCTGTGCACCCCACTGCTATGTGTTGCAAAATTATTTGCTGTAGAGCAAACACTCATTTGGAAAACTTCATGTGTGATCCACCACAGCATTTTACCAGTCAGGCTCAGATGCAAATAGCCTGAATCCCTGTTCCTAATCTTTCTTGTTTGCCAGGCACCAGGAAAGAGTTAGAGCCAAAAAGTAAACAATAAGGTGACTCCAAATCTCTCCCAGAGGTATGCAAGTGTCTGCAGTATCTGTCCTGGTGTCAAGACACAAGATATTGGTATGGATCTGATCCGCAGCAAACAGAATTTGAGCTGATCTTGCACTTTAAATCAATACACATTTAGTTTCACCTCTCAGGGATGTCTTGTAGAGCAGTCAGCCCCTTGCCTACCACCATGTAGAAGCTGGATAACTAACCTAGGTGGTCTGTCTAGATTCCCTCCATGGTCAGTGGAGAGAAAAACAAGAAGTTTCTGAAAGTACCTCTTCCATGGTTTAGGCAGCTAAAATGGGATTAACTCTCTTCCAGAGAGGAGACTTCATTCAACCAGCTAGGAAGATAAATGGTCTTGAACTGGAGCCCTGGTGTTTACAGAGAAAAAGGTGTGTCCTCCTAAAGTAAAAATCAGTCGGTGCTAGTGCTGGGCTGGCAGTTTCCTCCCTCCAGGTGGAAGCTATAGTGACCCAGATGTTCTGCTCAGCTACAGGGAACCCTGCTCTACTGCCAGAAACAGATATCAGGAGGCAAAGTCTGAGTCAAAATGTCACCCTTGATATTTGAGGAAAAGCAACTTCCAGCACAAAGAGACAATTCTTGCCCACTGAATATTGCCTTGTGAAGAGGAACACAACTCAGGAGGAATAGATGCATGAGAAACTGGATTTCTAGGATGCTTTCCTGATAAGGGCAGCTAAAACTGCTGGAAGTCCCATTGTCTGGAAGCTACCACAAGACAATGCAGAAGACATCCATCATGAAGTATTTACTTTTTTAAAGTCAAAAAGGATAAAATGGCTCTGGAACAGTGCACAAATATAAAATCTCCATCACTACTAGTGTTTCATAGGCTTTTCTAGATCTGGTTTAGTCCAGGCAGTAGACACAAGAGGGACCATCCAATGGTCCAGTGATTATTACTCAAGGACAAAGACTTGCACATTGACAATGACGATTGGCCTTCAGATTGATTTGAGGAGACTCGAACGCATCATCATGAGAACAGGAAAGCTCTCCCAGAAACACAATAAGGAGGTTTCTCAGATCTCTACTCTGCAGGAAAATGTTTCTCTCTGGTCTGGAAACCAGACTCCCTGTAGTGAGTCACAAAGAGCAGTAGTCTCACCCCAACAAACACAGACACTTTCTGCACTTACCGTAGTACAGCCCAAAAACAATGCCAGCTCCAAGGAATGCCCCCAAGGTTTGTGCTAGGGCATAAATGGGTAGCTTGATCCAGGGCTCACGGGCCAAGAAGCACATGGCAAAAGTGACAGCTGGGTTCAGGTGTCCACCTGAAGAGAGATTGGTGGTTAGTGCACTTTTACAGGCAAATTTGGATCCCAGAGATGAGCCACAGAACACTGGTTTCCATACCAGTGCCACATAAGAAAAATATAGCCATTTTAGGCCTACAGAACAATTGTGAAATATGAAATCCAGCCCATGTGAAGTCACAACATACCTGATACCTGTCCTGAGATCAAAATTCCAAGCATTACAGCAAAGCCAAAGGCCAGGTTGACAGTCAGGAAGCCTCCATGAGTCCCTCTGCTGAGCACAATCTGTGCAACGGATCCACAGCCAAACAGCTAGGAGGAGAAGAAGAGATTGAAATTACCTTCACTGTTTCACATCAGGGCCAGTGGCTGACCAGTGCCTACAACTGCTCCACTTACACCTGCATGCACCATCACAGCCCATCCATGACTCAGAGTCTTCAAAGCTTCAACCTTTGGTCAAATTATCTAGGCATTATGTCTAGGCACAACAGGGAAGGAGAAAGGACACAGAACAAGCCTATTTCCTGGCAGGGGGAACCAAAACGAGGGCCTAAATCAAAAGCAGAATTGGACCATAGGAGTCTGGAGGGCTTTTTCTAACCATCTGATTTTAAGATGTTAGGTGAGAAGAATCAGCCAGATAGCAACCTGGAATGAGGTATTTACAGTGAAACTGTTCAGATGAGGGATCTGGGTACCTTATTGTTAAAAAAAAAAACAAAAAAAAACAAAAAAAAAACACTAATAATTGTTTGACAGAGTAGAACATAAAGTGGTAGAGCACAATTTTGCTAATGCTTGAAAATACAGACATGGCTGAAGAAGGCCATATTCAGCCTGACATTCAGTGTGTCGTCCTTCAGGTGGCACTGGCTGTCAGTAAGGGATTGGGGCTGCTTCCCTGAGCTGAGGTTCCTGAAGTTGTCCCAGGCCCAAGGTAAATTCTGCTGTTGGCACTCTTAGCACGGCCCACACCATCCACACCCTTCCTATTGCAAAACCATGCAAGAAAGGATCAAGACAACACAGCTGGCCTGTCTCTGCAGCACCATCATGGCACAAGCACCATCAAGAAATTCCATATTCCACAGAAAGCCTGCCACCAGCACAGCCAGAGTATGCACCAAGGACTTTGGGGGACAAAAGTTGTTTCTGTTGTGTGGTAAAAGGTGTTTCCTAATAGCCAAGGAAGGCATGTGATCTTGCTCAAAGTCTTGCTCAAATTTGCTCCAAACAGGTGATCCTTCTCTTCCTGACCACATCCAAAATCCATCCTTCCTATGTCCACTCTTAACAACCCAGACCAGTTTCCCCTGGCAGTTCAGTTCACTGCTCATCCAGCTGGAGGCTTTCTGCCTTGCCAAGTCTTTCTACCACCCACCATATAATTTAAGGAGCCCTAGTCCTGATCATATGTATGCTTGTATCATCTACTGACTCCACCTGAATTGATTCTTGGTGTATACCAGTGTTTATCACATCAGCAGGTACTGAGAGCATCCTTAAACTAGGACAGGTTTACTCCTGAGCAAAGTTGCTCCCAAAATCCTCAAATCAGGATCAAGGCGTGCCTTATTTCTTCTGACCACATATCTACAGAGGCCTTATCTGCTCTTAGGGGATAAGTCACCAAATAGGCACCAAGGCAGCAGGGATAGATATATTTCACCTCTCCTGCCAACACTGGACATGCCCACTGAGCAACACACAATCCAGATCAGGGGCAAAACCAAAACACATCTAACTCATCCCCTCCCATCCCCTCGACAACTGAGGAATTACTAACAAAGCAAACACTGCACTGAGGCTGCTGAGAAAGGAGTAGCCATGTAGGCTGCAGGCTGACTCACAAGGTGGACACTCTGTACACAGGTGCCTCTTGACAAGAAGCCAGGTCCCCAACAGAGGACCTTGTGCAGAAAGAACAAAGGAACCTGTAGAACTTGTTAGTTAATGAGAGGGGATATCCAGTATTGCTCTCTACTGGGGTGCAGTCAGAACAGCCCCTTCAGTGTCCTAACCCTGAGCTGCCCAGCTGAGAAACCATGGCAGAGAAGATGCCCAGGCACAGGCAGAAAAGTTGAGTCTTGTTTATTGTGCAGCAAACAGAGCCATCGTTCCCAGCTGTATCCAAACCACTGAGGGAAGTGTAGCTCCAACCAAGCAAATAAATACTGGCTAATTACCAGGGTGGTATCTGTTCCTTCTCTTATCCCAGAAGGGCCCCAGCATGCTTTAGACAGAGGTTTGGAGAGAGTACTTGGCCACAGTGTTTGCCTCTCTAAGGCCACAGAGCACATCAGTCTGACCAGAGAGGGAACTAGCCCACAAAAAGCTGCAGTGGGCATTTGAGTTTGGCAGAGTTGACCCCAGGTTATTCCTAGTGATGAAGGTATTTGTGTTATTCACTCTGAAAGAACTGGCAGTTCTGCAAGTGGATGGTGGTTGGCCACATACCTTTTGGTTGCAGAAAACACAGAGTAAAGTTTTTCCCCCTCCACCTCTCTGTTCACCCACAAAGGTCTCCTCTTAACCTGGAGGAATGCCAGGTCTGTCATTTCTCAAGAGGTTATTCCCCATCCTCCTCCTGGCAATAGCTCTCCAGTTTTTTCTCAGAAGAAAATCTATGGGCTGTGCAAAAACACCCTGGATTCACTCCACAGGAGCATTACGATTATTTATCAGATGAGCCCTGAGCACTATTTGGCTTAATTCAGCGTAACAGTAGAAAACTTGACCCTCAGCAGATAAAAAGAGTAAGGTGATATTTAGAGACATGTCTGAACTTTGATATACATGTGTGCAATTCCACCCTGCCCCAGTGGAGACCACTAAGCATGAACATATGTTGCCATGCATGACATCCTCACCCATGATTTTGTGGCAAGTGACTCACCATTACTCAGTGTTGTTGTGGCAGTAGCTATTACCATTTTTAAATCACACCTTTTCCACTTCTGCTATCTGATATTTTCCTTACAATTCATTTTCACAGCCCATATGAGACAGGAAACCCTCAGCATTCATTTTTTAAGTCTTCCTTTTCCAATGATCTTAGAGGAGCATTTAGGAGCATCTAACTTGAGTTGAAAGGCAAGGAAGGTCAAATAAAAGCAATTCAGCATTTATCCCAGTGGCTTTTAAGTCCATGCAATGAATGTAAAAGTCCTTAGACGATATTATACCACTGTGGTTAGAAGACAGTATTGCACACCCAAGGGAGATATGACCCCTCATTCTCTTCATTTTAATAACCTGCTTCTAACACCTTTTTTTTTTTTTTAAGGACAAAAAAATACTACCACAAACATTACTGGAAGAACATCCCAGCCAACCGAAACCCAGGTTAGCACATCACATGGCAGTGGGTGCAGCAGTCAGCTGTTTTACCCTCATGATCCTCTAGCCATGTTCAAAAGCAGTTTTGAAGTGCTAATAAAATTATTGCAACAAAGCGTTACTCTGATGTATTAAAGTCACTCTCCTAGGAATTGAGGTCAATGTATCCATTAACCAGGTTAATGGAATCCTGCTCCGTAATTTCATCTTACTTGCTCTAGCAGATCAAATGGCTTTCCCTGACAACAGGGAGGCTTCTCACTCATGAGCTCATCCAACTCCTTGCACTGAGAAAAATACAAAATACATGTTCTGTACGATCCATGAGTTGAATTGTTTCAAGGGTGGAGGGGCTGACAAACTCCAGAGCATGAATAAGGGAGGAGACAGCCAGAAGCAGCAGCGGTGAAACCAGGAAAAGGAGCAGGTCGCTAGGTTAAACTTCATACTCAGAGAAACCTTAAACTCCTTGTGTCCAGTGTATGTTTGGACAACAGACATTTGGCTTTGTCACCCAAGGTGAAAAACCCTGTCTCAATGGCTGGAGATAAGAAAGCCCTGCAGCCAGTCAGGGTCTGGTAGCAAAGGACCTTGGAGGACAACAGAAGTTGAAAAAGCTAAGGAAGAAGCAAGGCCACCCAAATTTATAGGCAGACCTTGTGAAAAGCAGCTCTGTACATGAGATCAGGAGGAAGGTAGTGCTCAGCACTCCTCTGCACAACAACCAGGTTTATTCCCTTTCTTGCCTTCTCTTTTCCTTGCTGGTGCTTTTTCACAGCTTCAGGTGCAATACAAAAGGCCTGAATGCATTTGCTCTTGGACTTCAGACAGACTGATCTCTAAATCAAGATGGGAAAGTTTTGCTGGCATGTCCCAGGAGGAGTGCTATTACCTGAATCACAACTTTCCTCTTTAGCCAGCAAATAAACCAGGGATTAGGCAAGGAACCTTCTGTAAATCTGCCCTAATCACCTTGGTGGCCAGGAAAGTCTGCTCAGCCCTTGATGCCCTCTGGTCAGTGGTGAAGATACCAGAAGGGCAGTCAAACCATTGGTCTACTCTGAAAGAAGACACACCAAAATACCGACTGAAGATTTTAAGCATTAGACACACAAAGGGACACCTTTTTTCATATCAGAGTGAAATTTAGGACTATTTTACAGTCCCTTCAAGGAGAAAGGCTGGGAGGGAGGGGACAGAGGACTGTCACTTTACATCGTGTTCAAAACAACCTCCCAACTCCTTCTCTGCAGCTCAAAGCAAGAAGGGGTTAAAGGCACTGTAAGTTTCCCCCCTGGCCTCTTGCTGCCCTCCCCAGTGAGCAGAACCCAGCTGGGTAAATCTGACAGATCCACCCCCATTGCTCTTTCTGCTCAAGCAGCGTGCTGAGATCTTCCTCAACTCCATGGCCCATGCAGACAGAACTACCTTCACCAGACACAAAGACAGTGCAAGGAGCACCATCATTTTTGCCTTTCCTCAAAGCATCTATCAAAGAACCAGACTGGTCATCATTTACAATTTGCAAAGCAAGGAGAAACACCAGGCTCCACAGTCCAGCTTCTTGTCCAACACTGTTGGGGCCAGCCTGGACAGAAGCTGTCCTACAAGGAATGGCAGCAGCAGATGGTCTGTCAGGTTACAGCTCTTTCTGCACCACACGCTGTCCCAAAGCCAGGCAGGACTGCAGGTCTCAAGAGATTAGAGGGTCTAAGGAAGTTTTTGTTACACAAACATCACATGCTATAACAATGCTGCACAAAGCTGGAGAGATCAGTGACACTCAGCACGAGAAACCTGAACAACAGTCAGAGGAGTTAGGCATTAGAGAGGAAATCCCCTGTTTTAGCTTGTTCACACACACAGAGAAGCAGAAACACTTATTCTGACATCCCTGGTATCCCTCAGCTTTTAGTAAGACCGATAGTTCTGGTGGAGTTTTGGTCACAGGGTTGGGCACTTTGGGGGAAAAACTTTCTCCTCACCAAGAGCAAGACTTAGTGCCTGAGCTGTCCTGTCCATAGGAAGGAGAAACCTCCCTGCTTCTACATAAGCACAGCAAGGAGGGGCAGTTCTGAACAGATAGCGAAGAACTTCGACCTGTTCTGGTGGAAGAGCTGGAGGAGAACAGCAAAGTTACCATTTCCCACACCTCTACTCCCAGCAGCAGCACAGACCCTTTAAAGGGAAGAATGAGCAGCACTCAACATGCTTACAGGAGAGATTTCCAGCCCATTTTTAAGCCTGGCAAAGCATTAACAAAGAAAATAAATTTTTTAAAGTTTTAAAAAATAATGATAAAATCAGTTTCCTCAAATGCAATAAACTGTGCTCAAGAAAATCATCACAAATTAAACTGTGGGAACTGCTGTGCTGCCCCGGATGGCTGTGGGATGAGCAGCCACTTTAAGTTCTGCATTGCCAACAGTTAGATGAGGTTCCCTTCACCCTGATCACCCCAACCACTTTGTTATTTTGGTTTATGTGGTCTGTAGCACACTTATACCCCAGAAAGCTCCCACCTGGCCACAAAGTCAAGGCAGCCCTGATTGAAAAGCAACTAGGAATTGTTTTGTTCTTTCCTTGTACCTCAAAAGCAGTGAATCACAGTTAGTCTAACTTGAAAATCAATTATAAATAACAAGTTGCTTTTCCTGTGAATGTAAAAAACAAACAGAGCCAGCTTTGGTATTTACAGCCAGCAGAGCACAGCAAACAGATCAAGCCTTTAAGGGAGGTACAGAGGCCTGCCACTGGAAATCTGGCTTTAGTGAGTTGCTACAGTAATAACACAAACAGTAAGCAACTTGGAAAATGCCTTCAGCATTTGCATTGCTTAACGACTGCCAGCAAACAGTGCTTCCAACATAGGTATAAAGTTCAAACATAAAGTGCCACTCAGAAAGTACATTTGGAAGGGAGCAAAAAAGTCATCTTAATTATCAAAGAAAAGGTAGAATCAACATTATTTTTGTAACATTAAGGACACTATCCACAGAATAAAAGCACATTATGCAAGGTGCTATACACAGCAAAAGCAGCTTGCAAGTAGAGAGCATCTCGCCTTTGCACTACTCAAGGCTTGGCTGCCTTAGATTATTTTTCTTATCTTAAAAAAAAAAAAAAAAAGAGGCAATATTTTGTTCTAACTTTTGCTATCTTTACAACCTTCTTAAAAATAAGAAAAATAAAATCAAGCACTAAGTTAATTCTTACAGGCGAAGAGAGTTTGTACCAGTCTGAAATAACTTTGCTCTAGAAGCGTTTGAGAGTGCTGCAGTGGTTATGCAAGTGAAAGGGAGGAGGGAAGAAGCTGAAGCTGTGCCAATATCCACGGTGGGACAAGTTTTACATTACACAGTGAAATTTAAAGTAAGCTGCAAACTTTAAACAGTCTCACTCCCTTCAGCTCAGGAAGCTGATTTCTGTGTGAACAATATGAAATCTTAAATCCATCCTAAATACTGTTCTGTTCTAGAAATACTTGTGTTCAGCCAAATCAAACTCTCGTGAAGACAATGTCAAGGATCCCAGGTCTTTCCTCAGGTATTTTTTTCTGTGAAGCACATAACAGTTATTTACTGGGCTCAAACACAGCTAACTGCATTCACACCCAGATCAGCCTACTGGCAGAGTGGGCAGCAGGTACTTCTGCAAGGTACAGAATTACAATCTCTCTCCTGGGACTATCCAATTCAAACTTATACTTAGGCCATCTGAAAGGAAAGGAAAGTCAACTTCAGGACCCTTTCTGTTTCAGTCAGGTGATACAATAAAAAGATGCAAAGGAATCCAGATGGTAGAGAGCAAAAAAAAAAAAATTTAGTAAAAAAAGTAAAAACTCTGAGTGTCACTTTGCTAATAATAATAGACCAGGACAGCTCCAAGATGGAAAGCAGACCAGTATTGCAAGCTTGCTGCCCTGGAACCCATTTCCTTCTCTGTGTACCCTGTTTTTGTCTGGTGACAGCCCAGGAGCATTCACCATGTTGGGGATTTTCTCATTTCTCCCACCAGCCCACACCATCTTCTCCCACATGGACACAGAGTACCCGCAGCCCTCCATCCACTGCAGAGTTGATGTAAGAGATCCCAGGTGACTTTTATAAGACCTGTGAGATGGAGTTGAGTGTGTCACTAAAGCCAGCATATTCTTTGCCCCCAGACACTAGCTCAGGAATTCTTGAACAAGGCAAGAGATCTGATTGTACACTTACATACACACATTAAAACACAGCAGGTATGGTGTTCCCGAGGACAAGGCATGTCGTGCCCACTTCTACTAGTGCAGCATCCAGCCTGGCTGGTGGGCCCCCATTACCACCCTCATTTTGGAGGTTGGTTATGATTTTGGACCAAACCCTTCCTCAGGCTCTGAGCACATCCCAATACCTCTTTGCCCCACAGAGGCAACGCTGTAGGGAAAAGTAGTCTCTGTTGTATCAACTAATACAATCAGGAGAAGAAATAACATTTTCTGGAACATGAGCCCTTCTGAAAGCTCAGATCCACATGGCTAAAGACTTGGTCTTTTTTTCAGCAATATCAACTTGGATATCAGAGGACACTACTCCACTTTGCAAGTCTTACCTCGTTTCAGTCCTGAGATTAACTGCAGCAAGATCAGTGATTCATAGACAGCAACTTTCTACCTGTTAATCACTTTCCTATCGTTTTCTACCCACCTGAATTCCAAATGACCCTTCCCTGAAAAATCAACAGGACTTGTTTGCAAATCACGAAAGCCAGGTCACTCTAATGATAAAGCCATTGCACTGTGCCAAGCTGCTTTCTTTTAAGAGTGGTAGCATTTTACAGGGTCTTAGCAGAGTCCCTTATCCTCTTACACAAGACTCAGTAGCCCTCTCTTCCTCATAAAAAAATTCTTATCTATGAAAGCATAGAATTGTATGTTGGTCCTTTTACATTGTTCCCCAGGCACACATGCAGCTTCATCAAGCTTCCCTCCACTTTCAGCTACTCCGAACATTAGATTTCTCCCCAGTCAGTCCCAGTTTCAGCTGGGATAGAGTTAATTTTCTTCTTAATAGCTGGTACCATGCTGTGGTTTTGATTTAGTGTGACAATAATGTTGATAACACACTGATATTTTAGTTGTGGTGAAGTAGGGCTTATCCTAAATTATGGATTTCTCGGTTTCCCATGCTCTGCCAGCAAGGAGGTGTACAAGAAGCTGGGGGGTGCATGACCAGGACAGCTGATCCAAACTAACCAAAGGGATATTCCATGCCACAGACATCATGCCCAGTATCCTTCCAGGGGAGGAACTGGCAAGGAGGGGCATATTGCTGTTCAGACATCGGTCAGTGGGTGGTGAGCAATTGATTGTGCATCACTTGTCTTTTCTTGGGCTTTATTTCTCTCTCTTTTTGTTATATTCCTTTTAATTACTATTATTATATTTAATTATTATTATGTTATTTTACTTTATTTTCGTTATTAAACTGGTCTTATCTCTATCTGCAAGTTTTACTTTTTTTCAATTCAAACCCATTGCAAGGCAGAGGAGTGAGCAAGTGTCTGCATGGTGCTAAGCTGCTGGCTGGGGCTAAGCCACAACACAGACCTGCCATCAGTTACAGAGAGGCATAAACCCACAGTCACTCCACTGAAACCTACAAGATTGCTCTGGATTCACACCACTTCAGAGGAACTTTCACCTGTAGATATTCCCTGTACAAACACCAACTCATTTCTGCTGCAATATCAACACACCAAACCTATGTCCCATTGGGCAGTCTTGAATTTTCAGATGCAGATGCCCAAAGCCAGATATCCCCATCCTAGTTTTGCTGCACTGGCATTTGTTCCCCACTCCACTCCTCACACATAACTGTCCTTGCTGTTCACACCTGCCTCTGACTTCAAAGCAAGCCAGGACCACTTAAAACATCTGCAAACTAAGTCACTTATACAGATACCCACCCTGCTTTACCCCTTTATATCCCACCCATTTGGAAACTGAGCACTGAAACAGGCAGAAGAGTTTTGTTGGTATTCACCACTTAAAATCACATTGACTGACAGCTCGGCGCTGTCACACACAAGGTGAGCACAAACTCCCCATCAGCTGCTGGCACGGGCTGCCGTGGTGTCGTGCAGCCCCACTGATAAGACCCTGAGGAACCTGTAACTGACAGCAAAAAAACACCTCAACAGTTTAAACTCTGGCTACTTCTTCTCCATAAGACACAAAAGGAAAACAAAGTGAGGTGAGGAAAAAGCTTTCACTTCCCCGGGTGATAGCGTTTGAAGTATTTCAGTGCCAAGAAAATATTCCAGGGTAGACAGAAAGGAAGTTTTACATGATCTCTAGCAAAACACTTGCTGCTTACACAGAGACATTTTGCTACCTGAACTTGACAGATACACAAAAACCCCAAACACCCAACAAGCTCTGCAGAGCCCACCCTTTGCCAGCAATCCCAAAGCTCACCCTAAAACAACTTACATTAACTCTTTTCCTGTGGGTAGGGACTTCTCCTCTAGTCCCCTTGTTCCAGGTTGCACCAGAGCTGGGCTCATCCTTGGTGCAAACTCTGGCAGCAGTGTAGCCACTTCACCGGGAAAATTTCCCCCTTCAACCAGGAGTTAGAGAGCATCCCCACACCATCCCGCAAACTCACCACCAGGATCAGCGTCCCTAGGCACTCAGCCAGTGCTTGCCGGACTAATTTGTTTCTGATCCTCAGGTGCTCCTCAATAGTAGCGAGAACGTCCTTTTGCCTCCCCATCACACCAGATGTGCCCTTCAGGTGGTGTCAGGGAAAAAGCAGCAGCTAACAAAGCCTCAGCAAGGTTTCTTCCTCAGCAGAGCTGCCTTTGCTTATAAATAAGTTCAGCAGACACACCTCCTCAGTAACCACACCCCTTCCACCCTCTCTTCAAACCCAATTTTTTTTTTCCTCCTTTTCGGCTTGAGACAAGAGTGGGTGGTTTTCTTCTTTTTCTTTATTGCTCGCATAGGTGGGCAAAAGATTCAGGAGTTTCAGAAGAAGAAGGCTATTCAGAGGGACCTGGACAAGCTTGAGAGATGAGACTGCAAACCTCATGATGTTCAACAAGGTCCTGCACGTGGGTCGGGGCAATCCCGAGGACAAATACAGGCTGGGCAAGGAGTGGATTGAGAGCAGCCCTGAGGAGAAGGACTTGGGGGTGTTGGTGGATAAAAAACTGACTGTGAGCCAGCAATGTGCGCTCACAGCCCAGAAAGCCAGCCGTGTCCTGGGCTGCATCAAGAGAAGTGTGGGCAGCAGGGCAAGGGAGGGCATTCTCCCTTTCTGCTCTCGAGAGCTCATCCAGAGTACTGCTTCAGCTCTAGGGTCCCCCACGTAAGAAGGACACAGACCTGCTTGAGTGGGTCTAGAGGAGGCCACAGAGATGATCAGGGGGCTGGAGCACCTCCCCTGTGAGTACAAGCTGAGAGAGTTGAGGCTGCTCAGCCTGGAGAAGAGAAGGCTCTGGGGGGACCTTATAGAGGCCTTCCAGTACTTAAAGGGGGTACAGGAAAGATGGGGAGGCTCTCCTTATTGGGGGGAGGGGGGGGAACAGGGGAGGCGAAGGGAGGAGGGGAGGGGAGGGAGAGGGATAGGATGTGGAGTAACAATTTTAAACTGAAAGAGGGTAAATTTAGATCAGATTTAAGGAAGAAATTCTTCCATGTGAAAGTGCTGAGGCACTGGCCCAGGGTGCCCAGAGCAGCTGTGGCTGCCCCCTCCCTGGAAGGGTTCCAGGCCAGGTTGGATGGGGCTGGGAGCACCCTGGGCTGGGGGAAGGTGTCCCTGCCCATGGCAGGGAGGTTGGGACTAGATGATCTTTAAATTCCCTCTCAATCCAAACCATTCTATGATTCTATGATTAAATGTGACAAAGATGTCCTGCTCTAATCCCTGCGGTTTTCATCACTTATCACCTAAAACATGAGGCCGTATCTGCCCCTCTTTAGCTTCAAATGGAGAGAGAAAAGCTAAGTGCATAATCTGAGCAGTGCTTTAATCCATTTGTGTATGATACCTTGCTTTCTGCTTCTTCTCTCTCCCAAGCTCCTGCAGGATGGTGACGTGATGAGTGCTCCCGTGCTAATTTAGAGGCTGTAGGTGCTTTTGCAGCAAAATCATGGTGCAGGAGGGTTTGATCCCCCATATCTGTACTGTGGACTGAGGCCAAGGCATCTCCTGACTCCAGCTATCACCCAGCTGAAGCTGGTATCACAAAGAAAGACCAGACCTCTCTCCATAAAAACCTGCATCTGGGTCCAAACTCTTGTGCATCATTATAGTTTATCTCCCCCTCCTAGGGCTCTGAGAGAGAATTTTCAGCCCAATCCCCATGAAAGCTGTGAGGAAAAGCCATGAGAGATTCCCAGGGCAGAGACAATCCCCTTCAGAAGGGATCTTGACGAGGAGCCCACAGACTCACACTGAGCTTTGCAGGAACCAACCCTTGCTGCCCTTTTTATCCTCAGAAACATCCTGTATCACCCTGGGCCAATTCTATCAGATGGCCTGAATGAAAGATGTACCATCTAGGGTGAGGGCTGCTAACAGGACGTGTGCCACGCATGGCATCTGGTTTCTGTTAAGTGAGTAGTAAAAGTTCCCTGTGATCCTTGACTCACCAGGACTTGATGCAGAGCAGCAGGGCTGAATTTGCAGGATTGAAGGGGACCCCTTTCCTAGATGTGTTCCCCCGCCTCCTTTGCAAAGCCACAGATGCCCGGCTTTTCCTCTTTCCCTTATTTAACCATGAACTTTCCTGTAGAAAAAGCAGAGCTTTTCAGTGCAGTGATGAATGGGCCTTTATTTCATACAGAAACTGCAGCCAACACAAGGAGCAGAGTCAGGAATGTGGTTAAGAAAGCAATAACGTGTGAGGAATCAAATGCAGAAAAACACTCAGATCCAAACATAATTACAGGGGCAGGAAACTTTCCTCATTACTTTGTGCTCAGGGCTGGTCTGGTATCACCAGCATCAATGGGGTCCACTGAACAACAGCAAGAGCTCCATCAGCCCCATGCATGCTCACTGTGGATGGGGTTTTCAAAACAGTGCTCAGAACACCCATTTTTAACTTTGTCTCCATATCTCTCCCCTCACCCTCTTGCTGTGCATCACCCAAGCCATGGAGGATCCACATCCACTCCTCTGCCTCACTTCCTCCTGCACTCCCCTCTCCTTTATACTCCACTCTGTCCTTTTCACCCTGACTTTGCATCAAAGACATCACAGCCAGTAATGAAGCTGTGTGTTGGGGAATTGCCTTTTGGCAATTCCTAAGCTAAGATCTCTGGGCTGTTTTGCCATTCGTTGAACCACTGGTGTGCAGATGCTGTGTTCTGTGGTGTAGGTTTGTTGAGATTTATTTAGACCGGGTCCTGAATCCCGTTCCTTCCCTGGTGGTGTGGACAGGGCCATAAGACCAGAGAGAGACATGTTGAGGATACAGACATTTCCTCGTGACTAGTGAAGGGAGGGGAGATGTCTGGGCTCCCAGGGTGATGGTAGAAGATGATGGTAATGTTGGAAAATAGGTGAAGGAAAAAAAATTGTTTAGGGTAGCATAAGAACTTAAGCAATCAGTGAAATATCTGCAACATGTTGTTCATTGCACAAAGGTCCTTGAACTAGGCAAGTGTGAAAACTACCTCCTGGAAAATGCATAAATTGAGAGACACCTAATCAGAAGCCCCTGTCCTTTAAGAATAAGGCCCTCTGGAAAATAATGAACTAGCTGAAGCTAGACAAAAGATAAGAAAGTGCAGACATAAACCAGAGAAAAGCCAAGTCCTTGCCATATAAAGAAAAACTTGAAAGTTCGGACAAAGTTCAGGAACGGCTCCTCTCCAAAGACCACCAGAAACCGCTAAAGACCAACAACAACCCCCATGGAAGCCCCCCAGAGACCTAAACCGCATGCGTAATAACTATGTAAATATGATAATGAGTTCTAGGAAATTTGATTAATATGTATGTAACAGAGTGATATAAGCTTTGGCTTATATTGTAACATACTGTGGACACACTAGGTGGAATGATTCCCTCACATCCCTAGCCAAATACAGTAATTCCTGCTCGTTAATGCTAAGCCCAGCATTAAGGAATTTTCATTCACGATTTTGATGACAGTAACACCAGCATCAAAGCTGGTGCTTGGAAAAGTCTAGACAGACACAAGCCCAAGGAGCCAGGGTGGGGTGGGCGCTCTGACACTAGCCCTGTGACTGACTCATTGCCTGACCCTGAGAAAATCCTTCACCTTTCCACACCTCAGCTTCTCCATCAGAAAATTGGAGAGAGTGACATTGGATTCCCTTCCCGGGGCGTTGTGAGGGTGAATCACTGCAGCCCAAGAGCCAATGATTTAAAATGAGCAATAGGGACTTATGCAATTGCTTTCCCAACAGACAGCGATATTATTATCTAGGAAGAAGCTTGGGGAAGGGACAGTGATGCCACACTAGAAGAAGCTGAAAATCTTTTCAGAAGCAATAACTAATTGAAGAGTGGGTAAGGACTGAGAAGCCCCAGTGCTGGAGCTTCTCTGTGTCAAGGAAGGAATTGCCCTACCACATCATTCAGCTGGACTCCAGGGACACATGATCTAAGCACAAAACAAAGATGTGCGTCAGCAGCAATAGGTTTCCAAAAAAACCCATCTCCTGAGGTAACTGTTGCACCGGGTACTGGTACACATCCTGGTGGTTAGAAGTAGTCCATGGGTCAGTAAAAACAAACAAGGAAGGACATAGCAGTAAGAAAACAAGGTAGGTCTTCACTGTTGCTGGGCTCTCCTAGTGTTGTGTGGACACAGCAAGATGTCCATCATGCCTCTAGTGTTGACGTGCATGAACATTCAAAGATGCTCTTTCACAACACAAAGGCTTGACGAAAGGAAATTTCCAAAACTCTGTCACAAAAACCTCATGCCTGACCTCCTGGTGGTAGTGTCAAAGCTATTGAAGCCCAAGCAAGGGACTTCTGTTGTCAATCACAACATGATTCATGTATCGGGTGCCAAAGTAACAAGAGTGAACTACCCCTATCAATCTGTACGGTGTCAAAAAATCAAAGTATGGGGTGGGAGGGAGGGTAAGGAGGAAGGGGAAGGGCACCATATAACACTTTAATTTATGGAAACTGCTGGTTGCCCAGAGGAAACTCAAAGAGATAATGAAGCTCAGATCAGCAGGGAAATCAGAAACAACATTGTCCTAGGAAGTACCTAGGAAGAAACCAAGATTTGAACCCATGCCCTCTGACCTTGGTCGAGCAGAGCACTTGTCTGTAATGGTTGTCACTTTCTTATTCCTTTCCTTTCTCTCCTGCAGAACTGTACAACATGCCACAAGAAAACCACTGTGCTTGAGGTGTTATTTCTAGACAAGATCCAAAACTAACACCTGAGTTCCAAGTTTGCTGTTTGCATTTCATTGTTGCCATTTGGCTCCCTCTCTCATCACTCCACTCGAGGGTAAAGACACAGGTGAAATTTTAAAGGAAGAACCAATCCCTGGCTGCTCCCCTTCAGCTGTTTTCCTACTGGCTCTAGTGACACAAAATAAACTCATGATCATAAACTCCCTGGCTTCTGTAGAGTGCTGAATCAGCCTCCAGCAATGTAATTTTTCCTATTAAAACCAAGTTTAACAAAATAACCAGACTTCTTCTTAAGTAGATGAATGGATAAACCTGGACCAATGGGTTCCACATGTCTTCCAAGCCAAATTGATTCACCATCCCAGGATGGATGGTGCAATACAATAAGAAGAGCATGAATCACACAAATCTGTAATGAGTCACACATTGCACTGATGGCTGGG